CTCCCCAACTGGGAAAAGGGGACAGATAACGTCAGGCGAATCATGACATGATTTTGTAAATGACACATGGCACATGTGATGTCCCTAGGGCTTCTGCAGAAGCTTGTAAGTGCCCCCCAGATCTTCCATAGGAAGTGGATGGGGGCTGGGGTTGCAGGCTTTTTTTGGGCCCCCACCCACAGGTGTGATTTAATTTAATAAAGTCCCGTTGGCCTTTCCCGGCAGTTGAAAGAATAATGTCCAGAGGCGGGCTTGGGTCTTTGGGCCAAAAAAACAAAAAAAATGTTTTTTCCTCCATTGCCTTGAGAAGGTAATTATTGGTTGCAAAGTTTTCTTTTTAATTAAGAAAGGTATAAAAGTGCCACTTGCCACTTTTGACTTAATTAAATCCCATACCTCTCGTTTTTGGTTTGCTGTAAAGGCAAAAAGAAGAAAAGATAATTGAAACCAGAACTCGGTTTTCCTCTTTGGCAGAATAACCCAGTAGATAGCAGAAGCGGTGACGGAATGGAGACCTTGCTGTGGCTTGTCAAGTGACCCCTGTATATGTGGAGAGTGGGCAGACCTCAACCCGTGTTGTTAGCGAGGCTCCAGAAGCACCTTGTTCAAAGGTGGCAATGCCACCCAGAGCTCCCTGCTTTAACAGAAAGGGTTGGGCTTTCGTGGGGGGAGGCCTCTTGAAATATCTCAAATTTTAAGGGAGGGTTGGGAGGGTTTCATCATGGACCAGGGCAGATATGTGGGCTTGCCCTTTTTAAGTCTTTGGTATGTTATTGAGGCTGTGTGGATGTTACAGGTGCTCCCCCATGATATGGTGGGTTATCAGTGGTGGTTTGGGCAATACCACAGGTTGATGGGAGAGGCATGAGAAACAGTGGCGGTGTAGGCGGCTGGGGAACACCTACATCCTGCCTGAACTCACCGAGGTGGTAGCGGCGTGGTGGCAGGACATGGCTTTTCAGCTTCAGAAGCATGGAAGGAAGTCGGCAGAGCCTGGCACTGCCACGGATCAGCTGGAGAAAGTCAGGAGAGCAGTGGCCTTGTTTTCACCCTCCATCTTGTGGCTGGGGCCAGGGTGTCAACCTTCCCAGGTAGACCAGACAGGAGACACCAACGGATGAGCTAATTCTACTTTATTGTATGCTACATTAATAGAATCTTGCAAGTATGAAAGGACGTCTAACTTATCAGGCTGCCCCCTTTACAGCCTGATAAGTCAGGGAGGTTCCTTTCTGAGTTCCTTCTCTGCCCATTATGCAGCTGCGGACTATGCCTTCTCTTCTCTGATTGCTCCCTAGGCGGCTTTTCTTCCCCCCGTCTCCCAGGATCATTCCCACATACCATTACAGGTTTGAAGTGTGGGTGATGTGGGTTGGAGGCACTGCTCAGGGGTGGTGCAAAGTGGGTTACTGAAGCTCCAGTAACCTGGGTAGGGGCCTATCTAACCCTTGTTGCTTGTGTGTGTTTGGTTGGCTGGATCCTTTCAGCTTGGGGGAGGGAGGGAGTGGGATGGCAAGAGGGCAGGGGAGGAAATTGTGGTGGTGATGGGCATGGGGAAGTATGGCAGGAGATGGATGGCTGCTCTTGGAGAAGGGGGCCTCCATATTTAATTCTAACCCCCTGTGCTCGGCCCCAAGACCTGGTCTGCAGACCTTTGGTAGCTCTGGACTCTGGTTGTTCCTACTTAATGCCAGGTTGGCCTGCGGTAAATAACGTGACTGTGGATGAGAGGGCCAGCCTGGTTTATATCACTGTAATCTGGTTGGATGCAGAGGGAGGTCCCCTCTCAGAGATGTGCTATCAATGGTTTTGGGTGTGCCACTCTGGGGCAGCGGCTGATGTAGACACGAGTCTCTAGTAGCCTAGTCACTCCCATCCTGGCTGGTTCCCAGTTGGATTACTGCAACACATCCTACAGGAAGCTGCCCTTGAAGACCATCTGGAAAGCACAACTGGTCCAAAATGCAGCAGTGCACACAGCTGTAGGCCCTCCACGATTGATTGATTGATTGATTGATTGATTGA